ACCGCAGCTCCCTCTGGAGCGGCATTTGTTCCCACCCATGAGTGGCCTTCGGGCCCTTGGTCTTCCCTCCTCTCCTCCTGTTCACACTCCGTCCCCTCCAGCGTTTGGTCCCACGTTTCCTCCTCCTGACAACAGTCCGGCGGTCTGGTCTTCTCCTCCACCGCAGTCCCCTCCACCAGTTGTCCCACACTCTCGTTTCCGTCCCTGTCCTCCGCGTGCTCGTCATTCGTCTCCCGTTACCGACCTCCACACTGCCCTCCTTTGTTTGTCTCTTCGTCGTCCTCCTCCTGAGTCCGTTCTCCCGTCTCCTCCTCCGTCCTCTCTCCCTGTCCCCCCTACTCCTATCACTGACTACTACCGTGCTGTTCGTCCTGTTGTCTCCAGTGTCCTCGCCACTCTTGTCACCGACTCTCGTTTCCCTCCGTCGTCTGTCTCGGCTCTCACTGCCGCTGTCGCTGAGTTTGCTGCCGCCAGTCGCCTTGACTACGCCATCCGTGTGGTGCCAGCTCCTCCCTCCCGTCCTTTGTCCGTCGGGGGTGAGTTTGCCCTTGGCTGTGACGTCCTAGAGGACAGAGAGTCTGAGTTGGAGTACTGGGCAGCCGCTTCTCCCTCTGTATGTGCCATGCTGCTATCCCCTGAGGGAGACCCCGACGCCCTTGACATACCGACACCTCGCACTTACCGCGAGGCAGTGTCAGGGGCGTGGGCCTCTCAGTGGAAAGCGGCTATGGCCTCGGAGTTAGCGTCTTGGAGATCCACAGGCACCTACGTCGACACAGTTCCCCCTCCCAGGGCGAACGTAGTCGATGGCATGTGGCTCTTCAAGGTGAAGCGGCCGCCTGGTTCACCGCCTGTGTTCAAGGCGCGCTACGTGGCTAGGGTTTTCAGTCAGCGTGAGGAAGTTGACTTCTTCCAGACCTTCGCCCCGACCCCGAAGATGACTACTCTTCGGGTGTTACTGCATGTAGCAGCACAGCGAGACTACGAGCTGCACTCCCTTGACTTCTCCACTGCGTTTCTCCAGGGCCGACTACACGAGGAGATCTGGCTGCGCCACCCTCCTGGCCTCACTGACACCTTCCCACCTGGGACCCAGTGGAGCCTGAGGCGATCATTCTACGGTCTCCGCCAGTCACCCCGTGAGTGGCACGACACTCTTCGCTCCACGCTTCGTGACCTTGGGTTTCGCCCTTCCTCTACCGACCCGTCGCTGTTTGTTCGCACTGGTTCCACTCCTTTCTTTATACTAGTGTACGTCGACGACTTGGTCTTTGCTACAGCACATAGGGCAGCGCTGAGTGAGGTGAAATCCGAACTGCAGAAGAGACACAAGTGCACTGACTTCGGTAAACTGCAGCGCTACCTTGGCCTGCAGATCACCAGGGACAGAGCCGCTCGCACCATCACATTGACTCAGTCACACATGGTGCAGAAGGTCCTTCGGCAGTTCGGGTTTCAGTTCTCCACCACACAGGCCACTCCTCTGCTGTTGACCACAGACTCACCGGCCCCTTTCCTGACGAGCCCTTTGAGCCCAGCGGTCCCTACGCAGAGCTGGTGGGCTGCCTCATGTACCTGATGACTTGTACTCGGTCGGACCTCGCCTTTCCCCTTAGCGTCCTCTCTCGCTTTTTTTCGACTGGGAGACACCGTCCCGTCCACTGGACAGCTGCTGTGCGGGTGGCGAAGTACCTGGCGACTACATCAGGCATGGGGCTTGTGCTTGGAGGGACTCAGCCAGTGGTGTTGAATGGTCACTGCGACTCTTCCTACGCTGACGACGTGGAGACTCAGCGCTCGACTCAGGGTTACTGTTTTAGCCTGGGTGCTGGTGCTCTATTGTGGAGGTCTACGCGGTCGTCGTCTGTGGCTTCTTCCAGTGCAGAGGCAGAGATCTACGCTGGTGCCATGGCGGCACAAGAGCTTCGCTGGTTGACCTTCTTTCTCGCCGATCTTGGTGAGCGGCCTCGCTCTGCGCCGACCTTGTACGCTGACAACAAGGCCATGATCCTCCTGTGTCGAGAGCCTCGACTGGAGAGCAGAGTGAAGCATATTGACGTGAGGTACTTCATCCTGCGAGAGTTGCAGCGACGCGGCCAGGCACGCTTGGACTTTGTGGCCTCAGAGGCCAACACTACAGACGTCTTCACCAAGGCCTTGGCGCCTGGTGACCACCACAGGTTCTGTGTGCAGTTGGGGCTTGTTGAGGTAGGCCCTCGGTTGCTGTAGACTTGATGTTTGCCCTGCTTGTTGTGTTCCCCAATTTATATCCTAGTGAACTCTTGAACTGGCCTTGTGGTCGCTTGCTTGTGCTTGGAACTTGTGTGGTGTCCTTGAGATCCACCCTGAGCTTGCTTTGCTACTTGTCTTGACTGGTCTTGTGACCGTTTGTTCACCCTGCTCGTTCTGATGCCCCTCACTTAGCCTATGGGGGTGTGTCAAATGTTGATATTTGTGATAGGCTGTAGTGAGTTGCTCCTTAGAGAGTATCACACAGTTAGGGTTGCTTATTAGTACTGCCTTGTTTCCTAAAACCATCATTCCGTTGCACTCCGTTCTTAAGAACTTTCACTTTAAATCTGCCGAGATTTCCCCCCTCCCATTATTTCGCTGTCGTCATGCGCTAGTGAATCTTCCACTGCAAGTGGCCAGAGAGGTGCCACATGGCATTTTCGAGGGGGTGATGAAGTTCGCGCCAAAACTCACATTCGCGCCTCAACCTGTTATGTTAAAACGACCATGGAAACACCCAAGTTGTCCAATAAAAAAAACGATTACACTAAAATATGCCATATATATCCACCTGGGTATTATGTAGCTTTTTACTATGAGAAGACCCACCCCCCCCCCCCCCCCATTTTTTCCCTGTATTTTCAGCTATACCCTAGGGCAGGGCTGACTATTCAAAAAAATCCAGTCTGGTTTTTAGGGGGGATTTTTTTTTTTGTCTGAGGCAAAATTTCCAAAAACATACAAGTCTGATTTTTCAGGTTTCACAAAAGAACAAGTCTGAGTGCTCAGGTTTCACTCAGCAAAATCAGATTTTGCTAGAGTTCACGGCAATGCACCCATCACTGTTATAGAGCACTGCCACTCCTGTACCGTGCACTCCTGTAGCGCGAAGGGACTTGACTGCTCCAGCACAGAGTTTTACGCCTGTTGACGCCGCGTGGCTGCGGCAATTTTGGCACGTTATTGGTACAGCGCGACAATTTGGCTGCATTTCGTGGGAAAACGGGCAGCAAAACAGTGCATAATTTGCATGTGACAGAGTGGTGGTTGTTTATGTGTTAAAATAGTAGCATACGTTGGGACTAGGGTTTTGGTAGAGCCTAGGCTTAGTAACCTAGGCCAAGTAGTAAGAAGAGAGATTTGTGCCAAGTAGGGATGATTGCACTATGAAATGGGGAGCACAAATAGGCAACCAACAAGAACTACTAGGGGTGCACCACCAAACAGAATACATGATAACTACACTACAGATAAACCACAAGCAATTTCATAAAATATAATTAATATATTTTGACACGCCCCCATAATTGCTTGCGGGGTGTACTTATCACCCCCTGAAAGGGGTACACCAACACGGATAGGAACACGGGCAGGAAGAGAAGCACGGGAACGATACGGGAAGCACGGGGGACATGGGAGTGGGGTGAGAGGAGGAGGAGGCGGCTGATGCTGCAGCTGGACTCACACCACCCCCTCAACCTCCCCCCCACAGCAGCAGCAGCGGCAGTGAGGAGAGAGAGGAGGAGGTGTGGCGATAGTTGCTGCAGTTGTGTCACCCACCACCCACATCCCCTGAGCCTCCCCACAACTTCACACTCCCCCCCACAGCAGCAGGTGCGGCTGTGAGACAGAGGAGGCAGGCTGGCGCTGTAGGTGCAACCTCCCCCTCACACTCTCCCCCCCCCCCCCCCCCCCCAACTGCTGCACGTGCAGCAAGGAGAGGGAGGAGAAGGGGGGGGGGGGGGGGGGGGGTAGGGGCTGTGCATGGGGCTGCAGATGCGCGTGCAGAGGGCAGCAGGGCGCACGGGGCGCGCAGGGCAGCAGGGCGCGCGGGGCGCGCAGGACAGCAGGGCGCGCGTGGCGTGCAGGGCTGCAGAGCGCACGGGGCGCGCAGGGCAGCAGGACGGGCAGGAATCCGTCGCGCGCCAGGGGCGCGCGGCGGGCAGGAATCCGTCGCGCGCCAGGGGCGTGCGACGGGCAGGGATCCGTCGCGCGCCAGGGGCGCGCGGCGGGCAGGAAACCGTCGAGCGCCAGGGGCACGTGGCGGGCAGGAATCCATCGCGCGCCAGAGGCGCGCGGCGGGCAGGAAACCGTCTTGCGCTAGGGGCGCGCGACGGGCAGGAAACCGTCGCTCGCTAGGGGCGCGCGACGGGCAACACGAAACAAGAGATGCGCGGTGGGCCCATGAAAAGCCGGTCCGAGGAGGAATTGCTCTGATACCATGTTGAAATAGTTGCATACGTTGGGACTAGGGTTTCGGTAGAGCCTAGGCTTAGTAGCCTAGGCCAAGTAGTAAGAAGAGATATTTGTGCCAAGTAGGGATGATTGTACTATGGAATGGGGAGTACAAATAGGTGACCAACAAGAACTACGAGGGGTGCACCACCAAACAAAATATATGATAACTACACTACAGATAAACCACAAGCAATTATATAAAATATAATTAATATATTTTAACATTATGTACTTGTCAAAATATGTTATTCATATTTTCTAAGATTGTTTGTAGTGCTAGTGTTGTTGTCTCATGTTTGGTGGTGGTGCACCTCCTTGCCTTGCTTGTTCTTGTTTCCTTTATGTTCCTCTCTTTCTATAATGAAACCATCATTCTCTCTACTCTGCCTTGGCACAACCTCCTCGATATCACCTTGGCCTAGGCTACTAAGCCTAGGCCCTAACTTCAACCTAGCTCTTAACTAAGCTATGATTATGACATGGTTTCAGAGCAGAAACGCTCCTACACATAAATCATAATGGGCCCACCGTTAGATTCTACCCGTGCCCGTCCCTACGCCCGCCCGTCGCGCTCTGCCCGTGGCGAGCTCGCCAGCGCCGAGCGACAGCGCGGACGCGAGCGCCGAGCGCCAGTGCGGACGCCAGCGCCCTGCGTCAGCACGGACGCCCGCGCCAGCGCCAGCGCGGACGCCAGTGCCGACCGCCAGCGCGGACGCCCGCGCCCTGCGCCAGTGCGGACGACAGCGCCCTGCGCCAGCACGGACGCCAGCGCCCAACGCCAGATCAGGGCCGGCCGCCAGCATCCCCGCCCACTCCAGCCCGCTCCCCATCCGCATTTCTGCCGCGCCCCGCCAAGGGCGGCCGCTGTGTGGGGGAGGTGGCGGACAGTGGTGGGGGCGGCGGCGGGAATGGAGGTAGCGGGGAGGGGGGTAGGTGGCGTGGAGGGGTTGGCCACCGTGAGCCTCTGCAGCACCACCCTCCGCCTCCTCCACCTCTCGCTCACTCCCGCGTCTGCTGCTGTGGGGGGGAGGTTGAGGGGTTGGGTGAGTCCAGCTGCAGCATCAGCCGCCTCCTCCTCCTCTCATCCCCTGCCTTGTGCCTCCCGTACCTTGCTGTCCGCCTCTGCTCGGCGCCTCGTGCGCCTCCTGCCCGGCGCCTCATGCGCCTCCTGCCCGGCGCCTCGTGCGCCTCCTGCCCGGTGCCTCGTGCGCCTCCTGCCCGGCGCCTCGTGCGCCTCCTGCCCGGCGCCTCGTGCGCCTCCTGCCCGGCGCCTCGTGCGCCTCCTGCCCGGCACTCCGTGCGCCTCTGCCACGCTGCCCTGCGCGTTGCTGCCCCGCGCGCCTCTGCCCTGCGCGCTGCTGCCCCACGTGCGCAGTCGCGCACAGCTGCACACGCACGTGCAGATCCTACCCCGTCCCCCTTCTTCTCCCTCTCCTTGCTGCGCGTGCAGCAATTGGGGGGGGGAGGGGGGGGGAGGGTGTGAGGGGGACGGGGGAGTGGCGATAGGGTTGCCTGCGCCTGCACCACCAGCCGCCGCCCTCCTCTCTCTCCCTGCCGCGCCTGCTGGTGTGGGGGGGGGGGGGAGGGTGAGGGGGTGGTTGCACCTACAGCGCCAGCCTGCCTCCGCTCTCTCACGGCTGCGCCTGTTGCTGTGGGGGGGGGAGGGTGAGGGGGTGGCGGATGTGTTTCAGCAGCACCCGCCTCTCCCCCCACCCCAGCCTCTCTCCTACTGCCACATCTGCTGCTGTGGGGGAAGAGAGTGAGGGGGTGAAGTCCAACTGCCGCCGCCGCACCTGCTACAGCTGAATCTGCCACCACTGCACCGGTTGCCACTGCTCCTGCCAACATGACGCACACGAAACTTTGTAGAAACCATAGATTTGCATTTCAGGGTCCGTACACTAAATAGTCTGACGACCCATTATCCGCTTAGTCGGTACCCTGGTTTTCTCAGTATTCAGAAAAGTATAAGTCTGAAGTGATCATGTTTGAAAATCACCCAAGTCTGAAAAATCAGGAACACTATGAAAAATACTATGAGCTTTCAGACAATCAGACTATTTTAGTATGAAAAAGTTAGCCCTGCTAGGGTGTTATGTCCGGGAGAATACGGTAGCAGCCGCCACACGGGTGGCGTAGGACTCGTGCTAGTGTGACGCGAGCATGTGTGACGAGTGGTTGAGACTGTGACGAGTGGTTTGGAGGTCGACGAGGGGACGCGTGGCGACATGGTGATGCACTCGTGACCTAGGAATGTGTAGATGCCGAAACGAAGCGAGGGCGTAGCGGGAAATGCGGATCTGTCGAGGGTATACGTTGGACATACCATGCTATGCTGGCTAACCGGGTGGTGCCATGGGCAAGGGAGGCAATCTAAGAATTGCCGACGTTTGTGCGTCGTGCGGAAGAACGGACGGTCCATGTGAGTAATGCGAAAATGGTGCGATGATAGAGTGTTTGGCATGAGGCTTGAGCTGGCTAGCTATTAGCGAGACAGCATGAGTGACTAGCAGGCCCCCAGAAGTCAGAGAAATTTCTCTGATTTGCCTTAAAAACTTTGATATTTCAGCCTTTTTTTTCTAGTGAACTCTGAAAGTTCGGCTTTTTTTTTTTTGTGAACTCTGAATTTTCAGCTTTTTTTTTTAGGCCTCGTCTGATATTTCAGCTTTTTTTCCAGAGTGTACTCTGATCCATCAGAGTCTTTGCGCGGACCTACAATGATTTTGCCTACGCGAGATTTGCGCTGACAGCCGTGATTACTGCTGGAATTACAGTTTGTCCCCCTTGGCACCAGTGAAGTCTAAATTCAGTTGCAGATTGGTCATTGAGGCAGCTTTTGATCTCATCCTACCGGTAGGTCTCAACCAGTCTCAACCAGTACCCACGTTGCAGCCTTTTGCAGCTACACGGCACAGCAAGGAGCAGAGCGACGGTAGCTGCTAGTCGTCGTTGCCGTGCATGCTAGGCAACCCACCCACCGATCAGTAGGACCTTCACGATCGTCGAAGTCCATCTTGTTCTGATGTTTCCTTCACCACGTAGCTTCAGCTCCCTGTCACCAGTGCTTCTTCTATCTCTCTGCCCGGCACGCTCTCTCATATTGCGGCATGGCTGTTTAGGCCGATGCCCTCGATGCCGTGACGATGACGACGATTCAGAGGGTGGCGTAAGGCGGCTGATACTAGAACCAGCCTAGATAGTTTCCGTAGCTCGCTAGCACGCGAGAAAACGCCCTGTTCCACGCATGTTACCAATTCTAACCCCTGAGAAGCCTCCGCCCCCAGTCGCGAACGTCCCTGTTAGAATCAGCAGGCAGGAATGATGGACTAGGTAGCATGCATGAGTACAAGTACCTAACCCTAAAGTGTTGTACCCCTTGTAGGCTAACCCACTATGGCCTAGAGAGAACAGAAACATACAGTTTGACACACCCCCATAGGCTAAGTGGGAGATAGCAAACACAACAGACGGTCACAAGACCAGTCAAGCAGGAGAACAAGCAAAGCAAAGCAAAGCTCAGGGTGGATCTCAAGGACACCACACAATCTGAGCACAAGCAAGCGGCCACAAGGCCAGTTCACATGCAGAGTTATATTAGCAAGGCAGTACACTGATCACAACCTAGCAAGAGCAAACAAGCAGGTATAAAGATATATATCAGTGTACAACAAGAGCAAGTCAAGCAACCAGCAGGTGAGGCAGAGTGTGCACAATTTCAAGAGCAGTGCAGAAACGCTGATGATCACCAGACCCAAGGGCCTTGGTGAAGACATCAGCAGTGTTGGCCCGAGAGGCCACGTAAGCAAGGCGCAGCTGACCACGCTGCTGCAGCTCACGCGCAAGGAAGTAGCGAAGAGCAATGTGCTTCGTTCTGTGCTCCAGTCTCTGCTCGCGACACAAGGCAAGCATTGCCTTATTATCGACGTACAGAACTGGAGGAGAATGAGGCCGCTCCCCCAAGTCGGTCAGCAGGTAGGTCAGCCAGCGTAGCTCCTGTGCAGCCATGGCCCCAGCGTAGATCTCGGCCTCGCAGCTGGAGCCAAGCACAGAAGAAGAACGAGTGGACCTCCACAAGACAGAAACAGCGCTAAGACTGAAGGTGTAACCCTGTGACGAACGCTGAGTCGCCTGGTCGTCGGCCCAAGAAGCGTCAGAGTGTCCTGTGAGTACCACGGAACTCCGTCCTCCAAGCACGAGCCCCATGCCCGATGTACTGCACAAGTAACACAGTACCCTCTTCGCAGCATCAAAGTGCACCTTTCGGTGTCTACCGGGTGCCACGTAGCGAGCCAGGAGGCTGAGAGGGTACGCGAGGTCAGGTCGAGTGCACGTCATCAGGTACATGAGGCAACCCACAAGCTCTGGGTACGGACCACTCGGCTCTTCGGACTCGTCCGAAGGTGGAGCTGAGAGTGAGTGGCCGGTAGACAGAGGAGTGGGCTGTGGCGAGGACCACGTGAAGCCGAAGCGCTGAAGGACCTGGTGCACCATGTGTGACTGAGTCAGGGTGATGGTGCGCCGTGCTCTGTCCCGGGTGATCTGCAAGCCAAGATAGCTCCGCAGCTCACCCAGGTCAGTGCAGGTGTGTCTCTCCTGCAGCTCCGCCTTCACTAGGGCCATTGCCTCAGTGTCAGCAGTAGCAAAAACCAAGTCATCGACGTACACGAGGATGTAGAACGGCGGCAGAGTAGTGTCGGTGCGTAGAAACAGCAATGGGTCAGCAGTCGAAGGAGCAAACCCAAGAGCCGCAAGTGTCGTCCTCAGTCTGTTGTGCCACTCGTGGGACGCTTGACGCAGGCCGTACACTGGTCGCCGTAGTCTCCACTGGGTACCCTCAGGAAACGACCCAGTGAAGCCCTCTGGACGGCGCAACCAGATGGCCTCGTGAAGGCTACCGTGCAAGAAATCTATCGAGAAGTCGAGGGAGTGCAGCTCGTAGTCACGCTGAGCTGCAACGTGTTGCAACACCCAAAGAGTGGTCATCTTCGGGGTGGGGGAGAAAGTCTGAAAGAAGTCGACCCCCGCACACTATCTGAAGCCTCGTGCAACGTAACTTGCCTTGAAGGCAGGCGGAGAACCCGGCGGCCGCTTCACCCTGAAAATCCACATGCCACTGACGATGTTCGCCCCAGGTGGGGGAACCTCGTCAACGTAGGTGCCTGTGGACTTCCAGGAAGCCATCTTTGCATCCATGGCTGGCTGCCACTGAGAGGAGTACGCACCCGAGATCGCCTCTCTGTAAGAGCGCGGGGTGGGGATGTCAAGTGCATCCGGGTCTTCCTCAGGGGCAAGCAGCATGGTCGCGAGATGGGGTGCAGCGGCCGCAAGGCACTCCAGCTCCTCCTGTCTGTCCTCAAGGACGTCACAGCCAAGGGCAGTACAGCCAAGGGCAGTCTCACCCCCGACGGACGGAGGACAGGCAGGGACAGGGTCAGAAACAAGACTCGCAAGGTAGTCTAGGCGGTACACAGCAGCAAAGTCAACGAGCTTAGCGACTAAGGCAGACGCAGCAGGAGACGATAACGAAGGGTCAGTCACCACCGTAGCAAGAAAGCGAGTAGCAGTCGGACTGAATGCACGAGCAAGGTCAGACGGAGGGTCAGCAACGTCAGGAAGAGAGGATGCAGGAGGTAACGGCAGGACAACACGCTGTGGAACAGAGGAAGGACGGAGTGTCATATCGTGAGTGCCTGGGACAGCCGGAGCACGCGTACGACGAACACGAGGAACACGAGCACGGACAGCAGCTCTAGGCTCAGGCTCAAGGTCAAAGCTACCCTCAGGCTCTCGACGCTCAGGGGTGGAAGCACGAGTCTCAGGCTCTCAACGCTCAGACAGGGACTGTGTCACCGCAGTGTAAGGAGTAGGAGCAGGCAGTGGGGAGTGCGGTAGCAATGGCGGCTGAGACTGGTCGGCCGGTGGAAACAGTAACGGAGGAGTAGTATCTGCCACTGGGAAGTCAGTAGCACCTGGCGGAAGACTGAGAAGGTGGTGAAGAACACCAGCAGCTCCCGTACCTCTAGCACGAGCAGCTCCACTTGCACTCCCAGCAGCACCTCCAGCACCAGTAGCACCAGCACCTCCAGCACCTCCAGCACCACTAGCTCCGGCAGCTCCAGCACCTCTAGCACCAGCAGTACCTCCAGCACCTCCAGTGCGAGCAGCTCCAGTAGCACCTCCAGCACCTCCAGCACCAGTAGTACCACCTGCTCCGGCAGCTCCAGCACCTCTGGTACGAGTACCTCCAGGACCCGCAGCTCCAGCACTTCCAGTACCTCCAGCTCCAGCTCCAGCGCCTCCAGCACCAGTAGTACCTCCAGCACCTCTAGCACCAGCAGTACCACCTGCTCCGGCAGCTCCAGCACCTTTAGTACGAGCACCTCCAGGACCAGCAGCTCCAGCACTTCCAGTACCTCCAGCTCCAGCGCCTCCAGCACCAGCAGCACCAGCACCTCCAGTGCCAGCAGCTCCAGTAGCACCTCCAGTACGAGCAGCACCACCAGCTCCGGCAGCTCCAGTACCTCTAGTACGAGCACCTCCAGGACCAGCAGCTCCCGCAGCTCCAGCACCAGTAGCACCAGCACCTCCAGTGCCAGCAGCTCCAGTATCCGCAGTACCTCCAGCACCAGTAGCTCCAGTACCTCCAGCTCCAGTACCTCCAGCACCAGCAGCACCTCCAGGACTAGCAGCTCCAGTACCTCCAGCAGCAGCAGCAGCTCCAGTACCTCCAGCAGTACCTCCTGGACTAGCAGCTCCAGTACCTCCAGCACCAGCAGCACCTCTATTACCTCCAGCAGTACCTCCAGCACCTCCAGCACCTCCAGCACCTCCAGCACCTCCCGCAGTACCTCCAGCACCTCCAGCACCTTTAGCACCTCTAGGACTAGTAGCTCCAGCACCAACAGGAATGTACCCTCCACCACCAGGACTGCCTCGCCGAACGACCCACGCACGAATCGCCTGCGGCGAGAGTGTCTCAAGTAGAGCAGGCTGCGGTGGCTGTCCAGCTCCAGCACCTCCAGTAGTGGTATCTCTAGCACCTCCAGCACCAGAAGCACCTCTAGTACCTCCAGCTCCAGGACCTCCAACAGGGTCACCCACAACTCCACCGCCACTAGGACTCGCAGCACCCCCAGAGTCAGCACCCCTAGTCGCAGCACCCCCAGAACCAGCACCCCCAGGCACAGCACCTCCAGAACCCTCACCCTCTGTCTCAGCACGTGTAGTCTCAGCTCCAGAGTCCACAACAGCAGGCTGCAGAAGGGGCGAAGACGGTCGAGGCGGAAAACCCGGGGGGGTCTCCAAGCGAGGAGAGCGGCGAGTG